CCATAATCTCCTTGATCAGAAAATTAGGGACACTACCAAGTTACATGATGTTGCGGTACAAATTCTCATATGTCCTGAGTCTTAATTGACCTTGGAAGGCTAGGGCCAAAATGTTGGCTTTCCTTGTAGCCCTCCTTTTTCTCTAATTTTGGTCTGAAAACTTAGGCTGTTAACACTACAGAAGACAAGCTTATTGTTATTACCATACAACCTAGGCTGTTAAGCTTAACCTCACTATCTATCTGAAATATCTTAAGTATAATATGGAACAGGTATTTTCCATCAAGTATTGATATGTTAAACTTTAAGTCCCTGCAGAATGTAAAGACAAGAATTAAAAAAAAAATGAAAAAATATGAATAAACAATTACAGAATTTTACACAGAAATTAAGAAATCTAACCACTTTACAGCATTGTAGCAGGACTGTCCTGTGACATTTTTTTCCCTGTCTCTTGTTTTCATTTATTGCTCTTTTGTTTTAAACAAACATTTACTTGAGAGACAATATGGCAGTAATTGGTATGTCATGACAAGCAGTACATATTTAGAAGACCAGAATGGCAGGCATTCCAAGCATGACCCTACCATTACACATTACTATCTTCAGTGCAGTTGCTTAGTTCACAGTTATCAGCATAAATAGTCAGTGTGAGAATCCTACCAATTAACTGCTCATTTCAAAAACATGCTGCAGATTCTCAGGATCCTTGCCTTACCCATCTTGTGCTCATAAATGTATGGCTTTGCCCCGTCATATTTCCCAGCTTTTCTCCTTGCCCTCTCCTCATTGTACAGTCCTCAAGTTCTCGCTTTCCTTTTAATTGTGCTATACCTTTCTATTTGTATGTCTTCTTTTGAGTTCTTATACTAGGAAGACTGTACAATATTTATACATGTTGGTCTGGTTTAGGTTTGGGGTTTTTAATTTTTCTTCTCCTTCACTTTCTTTTCTCTTTTCTCCTTTCAAATTTTGCTTCCTTATCTTTCATTTCCTATATTTTGTTCTCTGTTTATCATTTTCTTCTTTGTTCTTTCCTATAACTGTACTCCACTTCCTTTTACTCAACAGGACTGCCTACCTCACTTTTCTCTCTCCACCTCTCCATATCCTACTAATTTCTCAAACTTTGCTTTTTTTCATTCTCTGCTTTCCACTCCCTCTACCTTTACTAGTAAAACTACTAAACTTTATGAATCTCTAGACAGCTAGTCAGTTTTACAGTTCTTTTGTTGTGTACTGTCTGTTAGCAAACGTTAATTTATTCTATTTAGGAGATGTTTATTGTAGAAGAACAGATCAGTACTAGTTTTGCTTCATGTTCATGCTATAATTATAGATCTTCTATGGCAAAGGGGGTACATCACAGGTTCTTAGGGTTTATTAATATTCAGTTTGACAATATAACTCTAGATTTTATTACTATAGCAAAGATGACACAGCTATTGCTATTAGCTATTTTTTTTTGGGGGGGGGGATGTCCATATCTATCTGGATTGCCCCAAGATCATTACTTTTGTTCATTCCTGGAAAACATAGTAGAGCAAATGCAATGCAACCTCTCATTCCAAGTACATGGAGGCACAAAAGCCAACAACTAGTCATAACCACAGATCAACAATGAAGAGTAGACATTAGTTAAAGAGGTCTCTATACTAAAAACGAAGACTTTTTTTAAGCTGCAATCAACTTAGAAGCTTCAATACCAACAAACAAAAGCCAAAAATATAAATATGAGAAGACAAGCAAACATAATGACTCCAGAAACTGATATATGGGGCATTGAAGGGGAGTAAACAAAAATCATACACCAGAATCATTTGAAATTCTATCACAGAGAGAACAAAACAGATCAATAAGGTATCTGCCAAGCTAGTAAAAGATACCAGTAAACAGATATTGGGCCACCCAAATTTTAAAGACTCAATCCAACATGGGCATGCGAGATGAATATACACTTTTCAGAGGAAGAAATACAAGTGCCAAATAAATACATGAAAAAATGTTCCACACACTGGCCATTTGGGAAATGCAAATTAAAACAACACTGAGATAACCACCTCACCCAGAAAGAACGGTTATCATAAAGAAATCAACTAATAACAGATGTTGGAGAGGCTGTGGGGGAAAAAGTAACCCTTCTCCACTGCTGGTGGGAATGTAGACTTGTACAACCACCATGGAAATCAGTGTGGAGACTCCTCAAAAAAGTAGGACTGGAAATCTCATTCAATCCAGCTATTCCCTTCTGGGTATTTTCCCAAAAGAACTGAAAACATCATACCACAGTGATATATGTGCACCCATGTTTATAGCAGCACAATTTGTTATAGCCAAATCTTGGAAATGACCAAGATGCTCATCATTTGAAGAATGTATGAAAAGATGTGGTATTTTTATACAATGGAGTACTACTCAGTTGTAAAGAAAGACAAACTCAAAGCCTTTAAAAGTAAGTGGATAAAACCAGAGGTTATACTCATCTGTGAAATAAATCAGACCCACATGTGTAAATACTGTATTGTCTCCCTACTGTAAGAACCTGAAAGAATAAATAAAACCTGTAATGTATAATAGCTATAGTAGAATAGAAAGAAACTGAACTTAAGGATTAAATAAGGAAGATAAGAGAAAGGAGCAAAGACAGGAAAAAAGGAAGAAAAAACATGCAAGTATATATAGCAGTTAATGTTTAGAATTTTCAGCTTAACTCTGTGAGCTGATATGTACAATCTGAACAACTGCATTGAGGACAGCAGTCTGTAATACAAAACCCATGGTTGAATACCTCT